AAATATCACCGGGCGATATATTGGAAGCACTGAGGTGGCATTAAATTTAAGACTTAAAAGAGTTCCGTAGGAATGAAGGTGATCGTGCAAATTGTGGCTCAAAATTTGCCAAAACGAAATTGTGTACTAACAATTCCACACAAAGACAAATCAGATCAACTTGTAACATCAAGATACTTATATTGTTACTATTATTTTTTTAATTTACAGCAATAAACATAATCAGATTAAGTTGCAATATAGCACTGAGCATCCTTTGAAGCGCCTGATGAAGTTCTGGAACTTCATGTAACGTATAGGAAGTATTCCCCTTCGAAAGTGGGATGGACTGAAAAACTGTCATATATTGGTCCTTTGATTTTCAAAGGACAAAAGCACTCCTGAACTCCTCGTTGACAAGATTAACAATTATGAGATGCTTTACCGCTTAGTGGATTCAATAACATAGTCGCACTCACGATGGTATTACGGGACAATAAATTAAATCTTTAAAGATATCATAGTATAAATTTTAGTCCTACACTAATACTAAGGATATAGACAACAAAATGCCTGTTTTATACTTTTCTGCTTAGGGTGTAACTTCTTGTCAACTTTTCTTAAAAACTACAGTATCTTTATCTTTCTTACGATATATGTTTGTTTTCTCATCGTGCTTATCCATTTAATTCTTGAGTTAACATAATATTTCAAACTAGCAAAGCCATGCAGAAAAATGTACTAGCGCTTCATGTAATATATCAAACACGAAAGACCGTGTTTGACCACATTTCCAAACAACGAGAAGAGAGTTGAAAATACGACGCGTAGCGGAGTATTTTTGACGAACTTCGAGGTGTTTGGAAATGTGGTCAAACACTGTCTTGATTGTTTGATATATCTCAATCGAAACTAAAACTAAGGAGAAAACGGAGAAATAAAATAAAATCTATGCTAATTAAGATCAGATATCCAAACGCCGTCAAGGTCATGATTTCCTTTGTTTAAACTTGATTAATTATTTTTGCTACTACATGTCACATAAATCTACAGCTCTTCTTTGTCACTGAGGTCGTTTGCGAAAGAGTGCGAGTAAAGCTGATCTGTATTCTGGCATGCGGATAGCGTATAATATAGGATTTACAAGGTGGTTGGCGTAAAATAAAGCAAATATTGCACTAAATAAACAAAAACTCTCCGAAGGGGACAGTGATAGCAATATTTCGGATTTAGTGATAAAAATGAGGAAATATAATATATTAAATGGCAGGTACAGCAGAAGAGATACCACAGTCACAATCAACAATGTCATGGTCAGTTTTCTTTCTCTACTGGCTGGACCATGGTGTCGAGGCTGCGCTCCACAACGAACCTTAATAACAATGAACACGTAAGAAACAAAAATAATCAAAAGGCACATCACAGCTAATGAAATCCTCAAGTAAAAATAAACGTCAGATAACTTTCCAAAATGGTCAAGAAGGATATGAGTAATTGTTGTTAAGCCAGCAGTAACCCATACAACGGCAATTATTATTCCGTACGCAGATTTCTTCAGCACACGATGCCTTAACGGCCAAAACGTGGCGTGCATCCGTTCTAAAGCAATAATGGTGATGTTTGATAACGAACTAATCGGGAACAAGAGCAGGAGTACATAAAGTATATAACGTACCCAACCATCAATTGAATGCGACTTCCATACATTACAGTCTGCTCCAACCCTATAGAAGTCATATACAGCAGATCCCCCAGCCAACATATCTATAACCGCTAGATTTATCACCAGGTACGTGCTACGCTTGCGGAGATTACGGTTTTTTATGAAAACAATTATCGTACAGAGGTTGAGTGTTACTATAGCAACAGACTCGGCTAAGCCTACAGTCACCCAGGTAATGCACTCAGATAAAGACATCTCAAAACTCTATCCTTTTTGTATCGCTGTTAGACGTAACTTTATTATTCGTCTGTCTGTGGAGAGAAGCGAATTAATTTTGTCAGGTAATGCACTCAGATAAAGACGACATCTCAAAGCTTTATTATTTGTCTGTCTGTGGAGAGAAGCGGATTAATTTTGTCGGGTTCTTTTACTGCTCCATAACATATGAGATTAAAGAGGTCGAGGGCATACTCTTGACCGTTCCGGTGTTAGTATGCAACGACACGTTAACTCTTCAGCCTTCCCGAAGGTTAAAATCGTATTATTTACAATAAAAAAATAACATGCGGCCGTCTGTGTGAGTTTACCTTTCAGTTTCTTTAGGTTGCTTTTGCTCTCTTTGCGCATTTGGAGGGAGATAATCTGAGAAAAAAAAAGTTTATTTTACGTATACTGTAAAGTAAGGCATGCAAATAATTACTAGGCTCAAGTTTTACATGTTAGATGATTACGGCGTTGGTTTGTAGTATTTGTTGACTGACGCGTAACTTAATTCAACATGGCATTTTTAAACAAATAAATATGGTAGAGCTAAGCATTTCCCTCTCTAGTAATGTGCGATCTCTTGGATAAAAATTCTGCAACAACAAAACAATAGAATATTCATTTCAGCTTTCTTTCACTCTATTTCGATCAACTCGTCGACCGCTCGACAATATCAATTCTACTTTCTCTTAAACTGCTCTTGTAGTGATTTTTGCATCTCCTGAATTTCGGCTTGTTGCTTCTAGGAGTCCACATCTAAGTAAGTGTTAAAACGTATTAGCTTCAGGCATTAAAACTGATACTTTGATAGCTATCGTTTCTTCTCCGAGCATATCTTAAGTGCAAGATCTACATTGTATAGTAAAGCAGTTGAATTATTACAATCTAACAGTTTAATACATATTTGACTTACCTTACCTGATCAAGAAGATGTGGATGCTTCCTATCTTTGTCAATGTAGCATCAGCAAGGCTGTTGTTCTCGGCAAACTTTCCTGTCCTTCAATAAACGGAAATAAACCAGCTGAAAACACCAGATAACGCGAAAAAAGGGATTTCCTATAAATTTAACAGGTCGAGGTACATGGCTGGCGTAAATCAAGTCGGAGGAATGTAAACTAGTAGCCTATAATTTACTGCAACAATAGTCGTGTTTCATTTATCGGCAAAAATTCAGCGAACCGATATAGAAAAGACACTTTCCAATTAAATTATGAGGCGCACGGGTGGGACGAATAAAGAGTTCCTCTGGGCATTATCATCAAAGGGAGGAATACATTTGATGACATTCTGTTCTCGACAATGTCAAATTATTCATGTGGTTTGTTGACTGATATGCAATATCGATAAGAGCTACTTCAATTCCATTTTCTTGAGCGACATTCGTGTCTCGATATTAAACCCTGCACAGCCCACAAAATTTCAACTGTTTCTGGTTAGCTGCAATCACCTGCCAAAGTGTCAGTACACTTTGCGCAAAAAAAAAAAAAAAAAATGGTTTTATGTACTTAAATAGATCGCCAATGACAAATTTGTCACAAAATAACAATTAGCCCCCCTCTCTCCGATTCTGAACCAATTTTGTTTATCTAATTTTATAATTATTTACATGATCTTGCTTTGCTGGCAACATTGGAAAGGCGGAGAGAAGAAAAGATTGCGCGAAGAGTTGAAAAGTTGTCTCTCGTTAACGTGGAATATCTCAGCTACTCTTGCAACTGGTTTTCTTTGCAGCGTGATGAATGAAACATTTATTAGCTGGAAATAATTAAGAACGAGCCAAAAACTGAAATTAACTGAAAATAAAAAACAGGCATTTGATCCGTTCGTTTCAAGAAGAAAGAGAAGGTATTTGATTTCTAAAATGCTTAATGTGCCAAATAACGGCACATGATTGAATTTAACCGTGTAAATTGCGCTGACTAAAATAAATACGCAAGAAGATTTTCGTGTCCCGAGCTGACTAATCCAAACAGCAACCTTTCACTGAGGGACAAAATTGTTGAGACACTTGGCAGTAAAATTCGATTTTCGAGTGTCTTGAAAACATTCCCACCCCCTCCCCACCCCCCTAAACAATCTTGATTTTTCAATTTCTCAGACTGCACAGACCACAGTCCACACAACATTGATTGTGGGGCCGTGGGTATCAGAGAATTAACGCTAGATGCAAACGACATAGATTAAGAGTTTAATATCGAAAAGCCTTCTAAAGGTGTCTCAACTTTTTTTTTTTTTTCGCCCATTGTCTGGAGTCTATTTCGGTAAACTGTGGCGATTTCAGTTAGATTTCCAAGCTCTAGTAAGTATCATATAAACTCTTGGTCTTCGGTCATCGTAGTATGATTAAAAATATAAAACAAACAGCGGTGATAAACATTTTAAAAACACGCATTTTATGAACTTGACGTTTCGTATACTAGTCGACATACATTTTCAAAAGTATAACCGTTAACTGTTTTTCTTTTTTTTTTTGGAAAGCTATCCATACTGTATCAATTTGGGTCTGGAACCTAGACAGAAAACATCTGCAGTAGAAATTTAAGACGTTTCAAACGGAAACTGTCTCTAAAGTGACACAATGGAAAAGCTTTCTTAATAAAGTAAAAGCTTTCCAGTGCTGACATTGGCATTCAATGCTGGCTGCAACTCCTGAATAGACAAGGTCTCCTTAACCTTACAATGGTAGTCAGTCTTCCCGAACGCCAAAATGTCAAAATGGTCCCATTTGATGTTGTGACCAGTTGTTTTAACGTGATCAGCAATAGCGGAAGAGTGATTATGTTTTCAAAAGGGTCTTGAAATGTTCTGTTTTCCGGTTGTGAAGTCTTCGCTTCGTTTTCTAGTATCTAGTAAGTAGTATCTAGTATCTAAATATCTAGTAAGTATATTATGAAAACAAACCACTAATTGTGTTGTTCAGAGTGATTTGTGACTAAAGAAAAAGTGACAAGTGTTTTTCCCTCACGAAAATTCTGATTCAAAGACGAAACCTGGTCTATCCCGTACATAAATTGGTCACATAATTCGCCCTCAAGGTGGTGTTTATCACCACTTTTTCACTTTTAAAGCGCTCAAAGAGTGTCAATCTCACTTTCATTCAACGCAGTTCTCACCATGACGCCAAGACTTCCAGTTTTTCTTTGTTCAGTTGTTATATTATGACGAAAACAAACAGAAATTGTACCGTTCTACAGCAATATATGTCTGACCACAAAGCAATGGTTTACCATTGCAGTTGGCCTCATAATGACGTCACGTTAGCGTGTGCATATCATTTTGATAACGGCATTGTACTGAGCACATAACATCTGATTTAACAAATTGACGTCAGTTTTTCATGCGCCTCTCCTGTTATCGATCATGAATTCCGTCATAACATTGTCAAAGTAGCCGTGGATCCACGAGGCGACAGCCGAGTGAATCCGCAGACTTTTTTTTGTATTCCTTTACCGAACTCTTCCTCCAAGATTTACTAATCTTTCTTAATCCGACGCGAAAACACGTTATGCAAAGTTATCCTCGAAAAATCCACAGAAAGCCCCTTGTTTAAGGTGGCTCCCTATAGTCTTACGATCGCGCGAGCGCTGAGGAAGTAATCTGCGCGTGCTCAAAGGAAAACGTCAGTGTTTTTCGATATTTATTACGTCAACATGAGCACAAAAAGCAAAAACTGACTGTGAATTTTCTTGGGTTTCCCGCGGTGAAATTCCGTAAAATATGGCAGATTGGTAGTAAATATTTTACTTTAGTCGGAGCTCGTTTTTCAGGGAAATCTGTAAGACCAGATTTTTTGCAGCGGTAAAAGACATAAATTTGAAAATATCAAAAAAAACTCCCTTTACAAACTCCACTTTTTTTCGTGTTTAAAATTCGTATCCCGCCGTATTCAATGTAACGTAAAAATGTTGCAAAATTTCACCGAAGGAAATTCGAGAAAATCACAAATAAAGCCCTAAAAACTGTAAACAACGCATTTGTTTGGTCATTTATAATTCAACATTAAAAGCTAAGATTTTAACAGAGATGATAGTAAATCAACATATCATCATTGCCTATTACATTTAATAAGTTTGAAAGGACTGGGTGGAAAAACAAATGCAAAAACACCATTCAAAGCATAACACTAGCGCGCGCAACGTGATAAATGATTACCCTATGGAGCCACCTTAAGGACGGTGCCTACTTTTGTTAGTGCGCACACGTTCTGGGCATCACGCAAGCATGGTTTAAGCGCCACGCGCGCGCTGGGTTGACAGTGACGCAATCAACTACGCTACCAAGTACACGACTAAAATGAAGGCAAAGTTTTCCTATTGTGACCAAATCAATTCTAATGAACTTGTACTTAAACCAGGAATACCAGACTAGCAGCGTATCGCTAACCACTAACTGTTAATGTGTTCCAGCTGAAAACCTAGCCGTTATCTGTCGAAAATTGAACTGAAATCCAATTGTAAACATTTACCTGCACATGGCGTAGTGCGCACGCGAAACAAGTATGAGATACGCAATTGTTTTACTTACTAGGAAGGTGACAGGAAAAAATGTTACGGGTACCGCAAAAGTTTTCAAAAAAGATCAATAACTTTAAAAAGTGCGTGGTTACCCCTACATTTTCTGTTATGAAATGGAAGTGGCAAGCCTATTCAACATGTGATTAGTTTCTGGTTGTGAGCAAAATGTATTTAGACTGTATTTTAGCTGAACCAGAGGAAGGCTGTCAGAGACGCTAAAAACGCTGTGGCAACGATTTTGTTATTAAAAACATACCAAAAATGGTTTTTATGTTACCATTTACCATGTAGTTTTAAGATCTTTATAAATGTGTTTGCTTTTCTGTATATAAAGGCGAATTCTAAGGAAATCTGTGAAGAAATATCCTTTCCTTCTTTTTTCAGAGAAATGCTGATGTCAGTATTTTTGATGAGATTCAAGGCTAATTATCTCGAAAAAAATGCGTGGCTCCCCCAATTTTTCTTTTTGGATGCCAATAACCCTTACAAAGATCTACTTTTTCCGCATGGTCCTAACATTGCGCAAAAATCTTTGTATTTAGTAGGCACCGTCCTTAAGGTGGCTTAACACAGTTTTTGATGCCTGTGCTTCATTCACCTTTTTCTCTAAAACCCTTGATCCCTCGGTCGTCAAAAATGGCAGCAAGCAAGTTAACGACACAAAATTTGGTTTTTTGATGGTTAAGTTTACGTATGTGCC